ATAACCACTAACAACATTCAACATCACCCCTTCAATCTCTAACTTCAGACTCATCACCCTGTCTGACACTCTCTTCACCTCCAGAACATTCCTCCCAAACTCCTCCTTCAAGACCACACCTACCCCATTTCTCTTACTATCCACCCCATAATAAAACAGCTTGAATCCTGCTCCTATACTACGAGCCTTGCTACCCTTCTACCTGGTCTCCTGTACACACAGTATATCCACCTTCCTTCTCTTCATCATATCAGCCAGCTCTCTACCTTTCCCTGTCATAGTACCAACATTCAGAGTTCCTATTCTCAGTCCTACACTCTTACCTTTCCTCTTCTCTCTCTGTCTACGCACTCTCCTCCCTCCTCTACTTCTTCAACCAACCCAAGTCCATTTGAGAGCTTTATCAGTAAGCCTGATAACATGAACTGCACCCTGTCTCTCTCAGCAGGCTGAGAATCCTCCATAAACTGGAAATATAGCTTGCATTGCAGCAGGAATCCATTTGGTGGGAACTCGATTCCAACATATGCTGCCAGGACATCAAGTGGGCAGGTCAACTGGAAGTTGATGGAGTCATATGGTGGCATAGAGTGAGTAAAGGGGCATGGTTTATTGGACTCACATTGTGCATGGTTTTCTGTTGTGTCCTTTAAATGGTGAAGTCTTCTATAACATGCTGGTTGGAGGTGAAGACTAGCTTGTTTATTAGGGCTCATCAAAAAATTGTATTCACATTTAAAAGCAAGGGTCAGAGAACAGGCAGACAACACAGGACAGGCAACACAAAACATAGCGTGTGCTGAACAATGAATGACATGACAGACGTCTTCTCATGTTGCTGCATTGCCTGGCTTGTATGTACAGTATATCCTCATTCAGTGTATTTGAGTTTTTAACATTATTATATACTGTTAATCATAAGGTCAATTTCACATTGCTTATAAAATAGTTTAAAATTAAACAAATGCTTTAAAGTATAGAATGTATTGTTGCTAGAAGTTTTAATGCTCAGTTGTTAGTTGGATAAACATGCTAATTCTTTTGCCCTGCTTTCAGTCTCTCTGGCCCCATTCATACCTGGCATGAACATTAATTATATCAGCATAGCTCAGCATAACACTTCGGTTACACACCGGTTATTTAGGGGTGTCAGTCACCTTTGTGTTCTCATTCTAAAGGCATGTAGTGGCTGACAAAAAGTTGCTCATTGAAATGATCATGCATATATAGATAAAAAAAAAAACATTATTGTACTTTAACCTTGCCTAGCCTTTCTTTTCAGCCCCTTTGTTACTCTCTTTGTTACTCACCTGTACTTCATTGTCTCCCTGTCATGTGACCGTTTAACTTGTTACTTCAGTGTATTTAAGCCCTGTCTCTTGTTTATGTCTTTGCTGATACCTTGTGTAATGCTTTTCTGATGAGTCTTTGTGATACCTTGTGTACTGCTAATGTTGAACCTTTTCTAACTCTCTGGATTATTTTGTCTGATAAAACTCTGCTTATCTTTATGGTAATGTCTCTGGATTTTCCCTTGTTTTTTGTCTGCCTTTATTCAAGGACTGATTTCTGTATTTTTGACTTTTGCCCTGTTTTTGACCTTGATAGACCCGCGTTCAATTCCCTCGTCTGCCAGAGGTCAAATGAAACATTTGAAACAAGCATTTAAAATTTTTTTTTTTTATTTGGTATCACAAAAGTCTATAATTTTTCTTCATAATCTGTATTTTGTTTGATGCATGTGTTCCAGTGCTTAACAAGTGCCCAGATTTCTCAAGAAAAAAATTATTCCCGTTGTATGTGCAGGATATATTTTAAGGTTTTCATTTGAATCACCATGTTCTTATTATAACAGCATATGCATGAAACCTGTATAGTTCAAAGGTAAGACTACATTTCAAAGCAATTCGGCTCTAATATACATTTATTGTAGTATATAAGGAAAATCTCTTTTCCATAAGTACCAGGTAACCCAGTTCTCTTTGTGGTCAGGTATGAAAGAATGTAGTGTGGACGAAGCTTGCTGAATGAAACTGTGAACCAGATACATTAGCACCATAACAGTAAGATATAATTGCAATGTAGCTGCAACATGTTACAGGGATACCACTTTTCTAGGTGTATTTGTTCTCAGAGTAAAACCTAGTGTGTAGATGAGAGGACTAAAATAAAATAACACAGACTACTTACCGTGCCTTGCAATTGAGTTTATATATGTCTGTAACAGAACTTTTAGATTTTGGGACACACACAGAACTTGCTTTCTAATTGGCTACTCAATTCTAGGTATGAAAACAGGGTTAAAAAGGCATATTTGTAATTTCAATGCTTATGATTGTAATTTTGGAATTGCACATGACATCTTGTGAAAACTAACTGTTGGAATAATTCATGTACGTATTTTATTTGCACATTCACAAAATGCTTGTACAGCTGTAAACTTTTCTATACATCTTCAAATTATATCTGTAAGCACAAATCTTTTTCACACATTCACAAACGTCAACCTAAATTTTCAGAAGTTTGAATACACACATACACATTTCTTCACATGTAGAAAAAATGCCTACAATTGTAGGCTAACTGGGGCTTAGTCACTGGGGAGAACTGTATGGCTCTAGTTGTATTAAGTGTAACAAGAAATCTATATGGAACCAGTGCCAGTGGGGCTTGCTACAGCCTTAGTCACTGGGAAGGAAACAATGGTTAGGAAGGGTACCTATTTGAAAATCAGAAAAAGCCACAAGGCCTGATGTACTAGGCCCCATAGAGGGGAGCGGCTGGAGGGAGGGAGGGAGAGAGTGTGGAGCTACTGTACAGAGGTCATGGGGTAAAGCCCCTTTAAGTGAGTCGGCTGCAATGACCCCAGCATATTTTAGATATGCTGAAATGTAGTTGAAAGTATGAAAGTACAAGTTTGAAAATATTATGGATGTTTTTAATCCCACAGGTGAGATCTGCAGAAATCATTGTCATCTGGTTCACTACTCCAGATTGGGACAGCTCTGCATGGGATGGAGTGTTGCAGTTTATGACTTCCACTGGGTTTGCACTTCGGGAGAAGGAATTACCTATTTGGTGATCTAAAGAACTGCAGGAAAGGGACTTTCTTGAGCTAATTAAAGAAATTACAAGCACCTTTGTGCTTTCTTTGTGATAGAAGTAAGGTTTTCCTCCAGATACCTTCAACATTGTTTTTTTCACTATCAGTAGCAAAAGTCACTCTGGCACAAATAAAGCCTTCACTGAGTGTGAAGAGGTGCACAGCTGGAATGGATGGTGGGCATCTTTATAAAGACTGTCATAATAGTCACAATTAACTATAGTAGTAGTAATAATAATAATAATAATAAAATTATAACAACTTCTCTTCTCAACAAATTCTCTTCCATTTTTACTTTTAACTGTACTGCACTAAAAAAACTGTTTCCAGAATTATAAGGGGTTGGGCACTTCTTTCCCCCATCCCTTTCACTCAATCACTGAAGAAAAGAGTATGAATGAGATTTTAATTCAAGGCTGAAATCTATTGAAGTGGTTGGTAAATGCCATTGTTGCTAATGAACTGTAACTGCCTTTAAAATTAATGTACCACCTCTCTCAATTCTTTCCTACCTCTCTTTTCTCCCAATTAATTTATTTAAAATTATGTGGCAAAGTCACCACACACCCAACCCACACAAATTCTCTCTCTCTCTCTCTCTCTCTCTCTCACACACACACACACACAATGCATCCTCTTGCTAAAAAGATTCTTGTTTAAAAAGATGTTTTTGAGAAAAGACGGACTGTAGGCACTTCCCCTGAATCACAGTGCATTGACAGAAATTCACCAGGGTTGGAAGAAGTATGTCACACATTCGCTTTATACTATGACCATGTCAAATGTATGGCGTTAATTTCACGTTATAAGTATTGTGGTTGTAAAAAAAAAAAAAAAAAGACATGTGAATCATAGAATTTAATACACAATTTAAAGAATATCGAAAAAACTAATAAAAAGAGCACAAAATAATCAGAATTAAAAAACAATTATGTTTTCCTTTTCTCAGTACTACCTACTGAGTTATACACAAAAGATTAGAGACTTTAATCCCACCCCTGGTCTGCATGAAACTCTTTTCCTAATTTTTGTAATCATAAACGAAGTACTTGGCGTGAATGAAAAGAAAATGAAATTAGCAAAAAATAGCAGAGAGAGTAAGCATTAGAGTAAGTTAACCAAGGAAAACACAATTTTGTTTCTAATTCTGATTAGTTGTGTTCTTTTTGTTACTTTTTTCTGATATTTTTTTAATTGTGTATTCAGTTCTATGATTTGTGTGTATTTTTATTTTTATGACCACGATACTTATGGCGTAAAATTGATGCCATACAAATGCACTATGGGTTACCATAATTTAGAACTATTTTCTGCCAACAAGGCAAAAAGCCAGTATCAGCACATTTTCATTTGGTAGGTTATTTATGTTGTTCTACAAAATAAGGCACTAAAAAATTTGACTTATTTTTTTACTTTTGATAGGACCAGAACCCCCTTCCATCTTCTTTCGGCTGCTCCCTTTAAGGGTCGCTAAAGCGAATCATTGGTCCACATTTTTTATTTGGCACAGTTTTTATGCCGAAAGCCCTTCCTGACACAACCTTCCCACAAGTGCACTGTCTTAGGTTCCCTGGCCAGGAATCAAACCTGGGCCGTGATAGTGAGAGCGCTGTGGCCTAACCACTAGACCTCCAGGGACCAGAATCCTGTTCCATCTAACTAAGAAAAATAAGTTTTGTTTGTATAAAGACTGATAAGAACCCAGTTAATTTATGTCAGAAATCAGTACCAAATAATATTTTCTATTTTGGTGTATTCATGATCTTATTTGAGGCCGTCAAAAGGCAGTCACAGTGTTCAGTGCCAGTACCAGAGAATAAAATAAAAATAAAAAGTAATAATAATAATAATAATAATAATAATAATAAACAAAATAAAATAATTCATTATAAAATATTTATAATGTAATAATATAACATATTAAATACATTTTCATGAAAAATAAATGTATGAACTTTATAAACAGTAAAAAACAGTTATGACAATTAACATCATCCTGTATTTCTTTTCATTTACTTAATAAAACCCACATACAATCAGGTCAATAAATATTTGGAAAATGAAATATTTATTGTTATTTTAGCTGTCTACCACAGTAAATTGGAATTGAAATTAAATAATAATGATATTCATCCAAATCAGGTGAGTGGTGTAGGAATTACAGCATCTGTATAATATCACCATTTATATGTGGTTCTCCCTGTTTTAAGGGCTAAAAAATAATTAAACAAACTATCAATCATACATTAAATTGTCATTTGTAATACTTGGTTGCAAATCCTATGCAGTCAACGAATTGTGCATGAATTCTCTAACCCATACAAATCAAGAGACTTCTATCCCTTGGCAGCCATACATGCTCACACTATAAGATAAGGTGGCATGTTTCAGAGCATAAGCCATTCTTTCCCTTTTCCATACTCTTCTCTACCAGAGCATGTGAGCGGAGCGGAGCGAGGAGGGGAGGGGAGCGCTGATAATTCCACCGGAGCAGAGAGTGTCTTTCTTAAGATTCCGCTCCACTTGCTCAAAACGCTCAGTGTTGCTTGCTCAACCCAGAATGCACTGTGTGATATGCTGGTTTGAGAAACTGTGAAATAAGCAATAGGTCAAAGGTTATGGAGTTCAAACATTGTTTTAATGAAGTTGCAAACCTTATACATAAATAAAAATCAAAGTTAAGAATGAGGAAGAGAAGAAATTGAAAGGGAGTGTGAGAGTTAGCAAAGATTTCTTTTGGAATCTTAAGCGGCACATGAAAAAATTTCATTTGAGCAAACCAGTGAGCATGAGAGGAGTGTCACACCACTCTGCTTTGCTGACATGCTCTGTCCTCTACCCATCATATTTAGTTGTTTTGTACTAACTGAAATCAGAAATGAAAAATTCTAACTTTAAAGAACCATATAAAATAAAATGAGACAGAGGTTTACCTGTGGTACACTGTATGACCTTCAGCCCCATCCACCGATAGTTCACGTGCATGTGGATGTGTGTCTGCAAATCCCCTCCATCCAAGTTTGTCCTCTTAAATCAAATAAAAAAGGCCCGAATTATTAGAATCTCTGTATTTTCAACATTCAAGTCAGTGCTGTTACATATGTCCCAAAGTGGTTGGAGATGTCAGAGTGCTGAGAGCACCAAGATGATAAGGGCCCACCATGACCTTTAGAGTCACCCAGTTCATCTGTGCAGTGGATGGTGATACATCGCTGAGGGCCAGAAACCCCAGGCCCATGAGTTCCACTGTCTCCTCCACTTTTATGCTGAGAGATGTCTATATCTAAATACAGACAAAAAGACAGTGTAAATTTATAAAAGCCTGCAATCTACATGTCCTCAAGAACATATTCATAAGTTAAACTTGGAGATGGTAGTCATTCAATATCCACTATCAGTACCGGGTCGATATCAGCAGAAAATCCTGGATTTTCTGGATTTTTTTGAAGGAAAAAGAAAGAATCTGATCTGATCTTTTAACAAATCTACCCTAAAATATATAGCCTGGGCAACCAGAACAAGTAGATTATGTGTCAGGACTATTAATTTCTGTTCTTGTTGCCTAGCTGACAATTAGGTTCAGTGGGTTGATGTAGTAGTCACCAGCATTATTTTTTTCTCTTATCCAACAACCAGAGAAAGAAAAAACTCATAAAACTTGATTGCTGCAAAATGAAGTTTGTACTTGGTATACATTTTTATACATGCACTGGTGTGATGCATCTTGATACTGTAACTGTTGGACCTGCTACTCAATCTGTTATCTGCTCCGTGGATTAATTAGTTAGCATGGATGACAATGTTTTTGAATCAGGAATATGCAGACATGTGGCAACACAAAGTAAAGTATAGTGTAAAGCTGTCATATAACCTGGAAGAAACCCACACGAACACAAGGAGAACATGTAAAAATCCACAGTAACTCAAGCTCAGGATCAAGCTCAGGATCAAACTCAGTATGTTAAACGACCCAATATTGTTTCTTCATCTTACACATAAATATAAAAACACATACAGGCATAGTGGAAAGGTTGATATCTTTCTTTCCGGAGATGAGTATGTGAAAAATACCAAGGTAATAAATTACAGTGTCTGCTGGACAAGTGGGTTTTGGTCTGGTGTGATCTCAACCCAAACACCCGGGTTCCTCTCTCCCACACTGTAGGGTGATAAGTTGTTGCAGCAAATGCCCCTATCATTATAGTCACAAAGAAAGGTTCTCACATCTGTTCTCACTTTCACACTTAGACCAAGAAGTTAATTAAATCAAGATGTTGAGCAAATCAGGAGGTTACTCAAATCATATAACAGGAATAGTTTAAAAGGAACCATTTCTGTTAAAAGTAAAAATATTTACATATGGATCATAATTCCTGCTCATGATTCTAAAATGCTGAATCTAAAATGCTTTTCATTTGTGTCTCACTACTGCTGTTATTGGAATACAGACACTCACCTTTTTCATCAAGTTCAAATGCCATGTGCGCTGCTCTACTTCTGCACATGCACACATGTGTCAAGTAGAAACCATGCCTTACTTGAGTAAATATGATTTTCAGTGAAAAGAAAACTCAAGTGGCAGGTCAGTCAATACACAGAATTTAAAATTCAGAACAAGCAGTGATGTAAAGGTTCAAAGTACAAATGAAAACAAATAGACACTGTGGCCAAAAGTATGTGGACCCCTGACCATAACACCGATACATTTCCCTCCAAAAGTATTGGAATAGCAATGGCAATTCTTTTGCATTTGCTATAGCTGAAGACTTTTGGGTTTGAGGTCAAAAGATTGATATGAAATGATGGATCAGAATTTCAGCTTTCATATCATGATATGTTTCATAGCTTTCATACCTAGATGTGTTAAACAACTTAGAACATGGCACCTTTGGTGACAGATCACCCAATTTTTAGGTGAACAAAAGTATAGAAACAGATAGTCATACTGTAATTTAAAGAAAACAACACTTAATGTTTGGTTGCATGTCCCTTGTTTGCAATAACTGCATCAAGCTGGCGACCCACTGACATCACCAGACTGTTGCATTTTTCTTTTGTGATGCTTTTCCAGGCTTGTACTGCAGTTTCTATCAGTTGTTGTTTGTTTTGGGGGATTTCTCCCTTCAGTGTCCTATTCAGGAGGTGAAATGCATGCTCAATTGGCTTAAGGTCTGGTGATTGACTTGGCAGTCTAAAACCTTCCACTTTTCTCCCAATGAAGTCCTTTGTTGTGTTGGCAGTGTGTTTTGGGTCATTGTCTTGCTGCACAATGAAGTTCCTCCCATTTAGACTGGATGCATTTCTCTGTAAACTATCAGACAGAATGTTTCTGATTTCTGAATTCATTCTGCTGCTACCATCATGAGTTACTTCATCAGTAAAGATTAGTGATCCCATTTCAGAAGCAGACATGCAAGCTCAAGCCATGACACTACCTCCACCGTGCTTGACTGATGAGCTTGTATGTTTTGGATGATGATCAGATCCTTTCTTTCTCCACGTTTTGGGCTTTCCATCACTTTGGTAGAGGTTAATCTTGTTTCCAGAACTTTTATGGCTCATCTCTGTATTTCTTTGTGAATTGCAATCTGGCCTTCTGATTCTTACTGCTGATGAGTGGTTTACATCCTATGGTATGGCTTCTATATTTCTGCATTCCAAGTCTTCTTTGAATGGTGGATTGTTATACCTTCATCCCTGCGCTGTGGAGGTTACTGGCGATGTCACTGACTGCTGTTTTTTTTTTTTATGAGGTTTATGAGTATGAGTTTTATGAGTACCAAAAGCACCATTGCGGAGTGTTGTGGAGGTGCTCTTCCATGTTATCATGAACACTATATGAACTTTACGAATTATTGGGGATTAAATCGATTCACACCAGCGTCTACAGATGGATGGGCTGGTCAAATGGTTTAATCAAATGCTTAAAAATATGATTCATAAGTTTGTTCACAATGATGTGTGGAATTGGGATAAGTGTTTTGAGCCGCTGTTATTCACAGTATGAGAAGTCCCGCAAGCCTCCACTGGGTTTTCCCCATTTGAATTATTGTACAGGCGCAAGTCTCGTGGCATCCTAGATGTCATTAGGGAAAATTGTGAGGAGGGACCTTGTAATAGCAAGAATGAAATTCAGAACGTTCTTGACCTAACAGCAAAACTCCACACAAGAATGTCAATCCTGGCTGTATAACAGGGTACTCGGCTACACAAATTTGCACAGGGAGATAAAGTGCTCATTTTTCACATATCCCAGCTTGCTAGGAAGCTGGGGTCAGAGCGCAGGTCAGATACCGTGCCCCTGGAGCAGATGTGGTTAAGGGCCTTGCCCAAGTGCCCTACCGCAGCAGCTTGACAGTGCTGGGGGTTGACCCCCTGATCAGAAACCCAGAGCCTTAACCGCTCAGCCACCAGTGCCCACAGTATAGATAGTTTAGATAGTATAATCATTTATAGTAACAATTGGCAGCAGCATTTACAACACCTGAGGGCTGTCCTAATATCTTTGACATGGGTGGGACTCACGGCAAACCCAAAGAAGTGTGTAATTGGGCGGTGGATGTATGGTATCTGGGCTTCCACTTGGGTCATGGGCAAATTGATAAGACAGCAGCGAGTGCTGCCTGCCCAAGACCAAA